TGTACAAAATGAAGAAAGATGTAAGTATATATAATAAAGTGAAAAAAGAATGGGATTCTCCCTTTTAGTCTGCAGGTTCTTCAGTGGCACTCTGTGTCCTAACAACTTTTTAAAATTCCAAGTAAAATACAAAGTGGAAAATGTTGTTTTAGTCCTTGGGGAAAAAAAGTGTGCATTTTAGCAGATTCTTGTTGGGAAACAAAGTGACTGCTCTGAGAAGTTTTGGGTGGGTAACCTACTACTCCTGTGTCAATGATGCAAAACAAATGCAGGGTACATACAGAACACAGACATCTAGCTCATTGGCTTTAGAGATTCAAGGTCATCTGTCAAGCCACAGTGTCTCTTAGCATATAAACTAATAATATTCTGTGTCTGATACTTGGTAGTGGTTTTTGAGTGCTTGCTAGTAATAGAAATTCTTTGATGTGGCTCAAATGTGAATTCTGAAAAGTATGTGAGGTCAGTATGTGCACCAGCTATGTCAAAGTTACCCTCTGTCTTTCAGCACCGAGCACAAGGTCTGTTATATCCTAGGTACTCAAGAAATGGTGCATGTATGGATGGGTAGTGAAAGAAATGATAAGTTGGTCCTGGTTGGAACTGTCAAGAAACTTGATCATTTTCAGCAAGAAGAAGGCAGTGTTTTGTAGGAATTAAAACAGCTCATCTGTGTAACCTTGAAAAATATACTTATCCATGCTCAGTTTCAGTATCCCCACCCCTCAAAAAGTAAGGAAGTTATGAGTAATTCTGATAAAATGCTAAGTTCAAGGCAAAGCAAAGTGGCTTCTGCTCAAAGTGCTAGTTGCTCTTCTTCACTGAGAAATGAATCTCATTAAATGTGAAAGGGCCATATTTTGGATGCTGTGTTTATAAAAGTTAAAATCTGTTTAAATTTGGTATGTTGGGAAGTTCTAAAAAGTTTTGTGAGAATGAGAAAGATGTAATTTTTACAAACAAAATGACAAATTAGGAGGGAACAATTCAAGACCAGAGAGATAATAAACAACCTATTATCATTATTCAAAATAAAAATAAATTAAATCATACTGGCTGTCTAAATTTGCATGACTTTCTTAGCTTCAGTAGGCCTTGTTGATTTTTAAAAGACATTGTAAAGCAGATTTTTATATTTTTCTTATTTAATTTTTAAAGATTTATTTATTTATTCATAAAGAACTGGGGTACAAGCCAGTGGTGCAGGGGCAGTGAGAGGATTCACCAGAGACAGAATGGGGAGCAGAACAGGCAGATTGATGAAGTACACTGCTGAGGGGAGCAGCGGGCAGAACAGGAGAGGTTTGGCACGCTATGTGGGTCACCCCCCTAGCTGGGGATCGAACTCACACTGAAGCAGCTGCTGCTAGCTTGCAGTGTTGTTTCCTAACCCGTTGCACCACCACGGAGGGCCCGTTAAGCAGATTTTTAAAGGTTTTATTTATTTATTTACTTTTGCATTGAAGACCTGGGGTACAGACCAGAGGTGTGGGGAGTGAGAGGATTCATCAGAGACAGAGTAGGGTGCAGAACAGGCAGATCAACAAAGTACACTGCTGAGGGGAGCAGCAGATAGACGGGGAGGTCTGCTGAGCCATGTGGTGGGTCAGCATCGAACTCCTGCTGCAGTGGCTGCAGGCAGCTTCATAGCGCTGTACTGTAACCCCTTGCACTACCAGGGAGGCACCTGGACTTATATTTTCAACTCCTTTATTAAATATCAAGGTATATAATTATTGGAACATAAGATAAGGGTGTTTAGTTTTGGTCAGTGAGATTTTAGCCATTCGTTATAGCATTTTATTAGAATTAATGACATCATATAAGTTATTTTGCAAAGTAGTTGACATAAAGACTCAAGCCTGTTAATTATATTTACTGTTATCTTCTGAAAAAGAGGGGATACATTTTAGTTCGTATTAATAGTAAAATGGAAATGATAGATAAAAAATGTCAAAGGAATAGAATAGAAATATTTGATGACAAACCCCTAGGAGGTACTTGCCTCCATTGCTGTCTTAAATATGCAGGATGTGTTTGTCAAATCCTTGTCGTTCTGCTCAGAAGGAATAACCCACCTTGGCCTTACTATTCTGCACACTCCCGTTGGACTAATTATGGAGGATCATGCAAGATAATTCTAAGTAATTCTAAGTAATGGGTATCAAATGCTTCAAATAAGGAAAGGGAAGACTGCCTGATTAACAACTGGGGTCAAAATGATATCGTGGAAAAGCCCTGGACAAGAAGTCTGACTAACTCTCTGTGGCTTGTGTGTTGTGTGTTATGTTTTAGTAATTTAGTTTCCACACTCACAAAATGGGAATGAGACTCCCTTTCTGATTATTTAGAGAACAGGATGAGATAATGAATGTGAAAGTAGTCCCTGCAATTTGCTAGGAAGTTAATGAATGTATGACTAATGTTAATACATGGAGTCACTAAATAGCGTGCTCACTGTCAGTGCCAGGATAATAAATAAAAAATGCAAGCTCCTCTGTGTTCAGTATTTTGACTAGTTTCTGTCCTCAGTTTTGAATGTATAATTGTTTCAGTGCATTTACATATTTATATTTTCTCTTATCCTAAGCATCAAAACATATCTGTCCTTTGTAGAATTTTGATACCAGAGAGACACTGGAAGAAACTTTAATAAAAAATTCACTTGTGATTTTAACACCTAAAGATATTTAATGTTAAAATTCTGAAATCATTCCTTATGATCCTTTCTTTTTTCTGTAGATAGCTTGCTCTATATCTAGAAAGCTCAACCATGTATATATATTTTAATTAGCCTGCTGGTGAATGTACCATTATGATTTATGGTTTTTATTATAATATTCATTAGTATAGAATGCTTTTAAGTGCCTATATTTAATAATATGCAACATAGAATATTGTTCACTTCTCCATTTAATACGAAGTAGTTACATTTTTTATGAAATTATTTATTGTTTACTAGTTGTTGTTTATTCCATTCTCCTCTTAAATAATATCAACAACATTTAAGTAGGTAGCAACCAGGGGAGATCACATTTATTTGTAATGCCAGTCTAAAAGTAACAGTGAATTCTTTCATCTTGTTTCTAAGCACTAAGTCTACTTGGAGGCCTTTGAAGTACTCGTTTAAACTGAAACCACACAAAGAGAAACTCAGCAAAATAAGTGGTTTGAAACAAACAAAAATATAAACCCTAAACCTTCCCCACCATTGCATAATCATTATTTACTCTTTACTAAATTTGCCTTTGTGGAGGTTAGGTTAACCAAAACTGTCTTTTTGTTTTTGTTTTTCTTTTTGAACTCCTGGCAGTGCCTTCTCAGCCTGTAGCTAAGTTTTCTCAAATATTTAAATATTTGGTAAGCATCACTCTTATTATTTAGAACAATACTAAATGATTTCATGAAAATATGGATCAGTTCACTATTTTTCATCATTTTCAAATAATTTTGTTTATAAGTTCCTGTAGCACAATAGTTGAATTAGGTAGCTATATTCCGAGTGACTAAGCACTCTGGATGGATCTGGAAGGGATTATACTAAATGAAATAAGTCAGAATGAGAAAGATAAATGATGGATATTGTCACCAATATGTGGAATATAGAGGAACCAAACTAATGGTCAGATAAAGACAAGCTTAAAATCCTGTCCTTGGAGCTGACTATAGAACTAAAGCACGGTGCTGGGGGTGGGGATGGGGTGGGAGGAGATGGTAAGACAGGAGGGAAGAAGCACAGACTGTGGTTGATTTGGTGGTAGACTGTGAGTAGACTGTGAGTGATTTGGTGGTTGGTGCACTACAGTGGCGATAGCTGATGGGTATACCCTATAGTGATTCAATTAAAATGTTAAATAAAAATAAGCATAAAGAACATATTCTCAGTCAAAATAAATTTGAGAAAGAAAAAAACTGGCCCTAACTGGTGGCACAGTGGGTTAAGGCTCAGCACTGCAGGTGAGCTGCAGCTTCTTCAGTGCAAGTTAGATCCCCACCCTTGTGGTGACTACATGGTGCTACAGACCTCTCCAGCCTCACCCGCTGCTCCCCTGCTTTGTCCATCTGTCAGTTCTGCTCCCCACTCTGTCTCTGGTGAATCCTCTCACTGCTCCTGCACCTTTGGACTGTACCCCAGTTATGTCTAGGAGTACAAATGCCCATTACATGAAATCTTGGGCTTCCTTTTGGCAGAATGCCATTGAAGAGTTGTCTCCATTTGTCACATGGAAAGATAATACTTCAGAATGGCCAGTTTTTATAGCAACATGATCAATTTTCATTCATTGATAATACTTATTGAGCACCCCCTATGCCTAAGATACTGAGAGTATAGTAGTGAAGCCCAGTTTATATGGAGCTTAATTTCACAGCAAAAGACAAACACAAATTAATGAGAAATACATTAGGTTCTGTATATACATACAAAAATTAATAAGTCTTAAAAAAGTGTCGAAGTTTTAGATCATGTATTATAACACATTCTCTTTTTTTCTTCTTGTCAAGAAATAAACTTCATAACCTCTAAATAACACAATAAGCAGAATTTTTGTTGGTATTGGTGATGTTTTTTAGGGCTTTTCAATGTTTTTTTATTTTGATAATTTCATTTACTTAATGTGAACATTGCTGTAGGGGAAGGACAGCATATTTTTGAAGTTTGTCACAAAACTGCTTAAATTTATATCACTACATGTTATCAATATGTTATCATACTGATATTAAATCCAGTATATCTTATATATTTTAAAGTCTATGTAGTTACATAAGTAGATCATTGTAACAAGTTACAGACTTAAACACCCTGGATTGCCATTTTCTGAACAATAGAATCATGTTAATTAAATGATAGCAATACATCTGTATTTCATACATACATTTTGGCCAGTTAGTTGTCATCTTTTCCATTTTTTGAACCTTTTCCATTCTTCCCATACAAATGTTTATATATATATTTTTTCTTTCTTTTGGAAAGTCTTCAAATATTTTCATTTCCCTTTCAGGAATTTGCTGCACTGACAAAAGAATTAAATGCTTGCAGGGAACAACTTCTAGAAAAGGAAGAAGAAATTTCTGAACTTAAAGCTGAAAGAAACAACACAAGAGTAAGTATAAACTTACATCTGCTTGGAATTACATCTCTATATAGTTCAGTGTCTTATCTAGTATACTTACAAAAATGTAAGCATTTAAAATTTTAGGGAGACTTTAGATACCAACTGAAGTCTCTTACTTAAAGTTAAAAAGAACATACTGTATAACTCAAAACAGGATGACAGGAAACCTAAATTATAATCTCAGAGACTAAATCACTATGTTGGCTTAGAAAATGTGCTTATTTGTTGTGACCTTTCCTTTATTTGACTTTGTAAGGAAGGGCCAAGTTTCAAAGTGATTTCCAAATGTTCAGACTGTTGTATTGGGGTGAAGCACGGAATATCATAGGCTGAAGATAAGCAGCAGAGGCGAGTGAAGTAGGGTGTGAGTTTGATTATGGGATGCTGTGTAGGAGTGGACCGCATTGGTCCTTAGCTCACTCTAGCAAAGTATTTATTTTTTAAAGAAAGTGTTAGAATATAAAACAAGTAGAACAGAACTTTCCTAATTAAAAGAGGTGTACTTTTTTTATTTTTCCTTTTTGCAAGGTTGTCAGTCTTGCTTTATGAAGCTGATAGAATTTACAGGATTCTGCTCTTGAAAACCCATATGTTCCTCTCTATACCATGACATGCCATGTAACTTTAAAGTTTGGAATTTGCACCAAAGTAATATATTTTCTAGTTCCCAGGAAAATGTCAGTAAATTTCATACAGTATATACATTATCATATTCCCTCTTAATGAAAGCAGTTCTCTAGTGAAAGAACATAGAACATTTTCGTATAGATGCATTTCAATTTCATATGAAGTTGGAAAATATTTACAGTGTTATTGTAGCAGATGAACACTGAAAAATAAGGTAATGTTAGTTAATAATGTATTTACTTTCTGTTTGGCATCAGGGAATAATACAAAAATCACAGCTTCACAAACATTACACTTATACCTCCAGTGAGAGATTCCACCACTCATGTGATCACACTCGGTTTGTCTCCTTTCTCATGGTCTCATTTCATGGTAGAGAGAATTCAGACCATGTAAAAGGAAATGGTTTTCAATGAGACTTTGAGAATTTGATCACACTGTCTGGTGCCTCAAGGTGGACACAAGGACAGTTTATCAGGTCTCAGATGATTTCTTTCTGTGTCTTTCTATGTTTTTTCCTACTTTGCTTTTTTAAATTTATACCATTTTCCCAAGAAAATTTAGTGTTTCTTTATGACGAGATGTTTGTCACATTTCAACATCTTCCTTTAGTTTTCTTTCTTTCTTTTTTTTAAAAAAAAAAGATTTATTTATGCGTACAGAATTGGGGTACAGGTCAGACATGTGGTGGGTAAGAGGATTCACCAGATCAGAGTGGGGAGCAGAACAGGCAGATGTACTGAAGTACACTGCTGAGGGGAGCAGCAAGTAGGTCAGGAGAGGTCTGCCATGCCATGTGGGTCAGCTCCCTGGCTGGGGATGGAACTCATGCTGCAGTGGCTTCAGAGTGCTTCATAATACGGTGCTTTAACCTGTTGTGCTACCAGGAAGAGCCCTATTTCATTCTTTTTTAGTTTGAGTAACATTGAATATAACATCCTATGTTTCTGATGTGAATATTTAAAAATTCATATATGTACACTACATCAAGTTCACCACTGAAAGGCCAATTTTAATCTTTCACTATATAGTTAACTCTTTTTACATAATTTACCAACCTTTTCCCATCTTCCCTCTTGTACCTATTAATTTGATCTTACAATCTAAAAGATTGTTTTTGTTTTATTTCCTCTTTGGGGGAGTGGGAGTACATTGTGTGTTGGTGTTATATTTCTAATGTAACACAGAAACAGGAAGCTAAGAATCAAGGAAAAACCAAACCTCTCTGTAGATTTTCAACTGGTCCTCTATTTTTAAAACGTCCCAGAAAATCTTTTAATAGCTACACATGTACTATTCCTTGCACAGCTGCTCTTTCTACAGCCCTTTAGTCCTTTCTGGGCTCCTGTGAGGGAGATACTATAATTTTCCCTATTTCACAGTTGAAGCAACTGAGCTCGGAAAACAGCAGATAACCTGCCAGAATTGCGTAGTTAGTAAATAGCAGAGAAGGGATTTGAAAGCTAAGACAGTCTAACTCCAGTTTCTGAGCCCATGGCCATGAGACCATCAGTGCAATTACTTACTAGGTCCATGAAGAAAGATTTACTACAGTTTAGAGGATTATTGTTTAAGAGCCAGACAGCTGTATCACGGATTGTCTTTTCTACTTGTTTCTGACTAATTTCAGAGAACTGGCAGATTGGATGACTACATCCACACAATTTCATTATGAGGCTCAGAATTACCTATGATTCCTACCCCATAAAAAGCCTTGGAAGTCAGGCATGCTGTACTTGACATATCTATTCAGAAATCAAAGTGGAAAAAATACAAATATTAAGTCCCATTAGGGTAATAAAAAAGAAGCTTTCATTTTATGCATGAAAAATAGCTGTGTTGAAAACATGATTGAATGCAGGAAACATTTTTCCTCTTTCCTTAAAGCAGTGATATGGAAGATTTTTGTTGTTGACTATGTCAAGGAAAATAAATGTGAGACCTTTATGATGTGAAGTATTGATAATATAATAATGTCCTCTTCAGGTATATAACCATGGATTCCCCTGTCTCATCATCCAAACAAATATTCAGAGCTGAAAATGAGACTAAATTAATGTCCCATTAAATGTTTCTAAATACAATAATTTTTATAGATTTGTATAATAGTTTTTCCTTCTACATGTTGTGGTTTTCTCCTTGCTATAAACACCTACATATTGACATTGGAGAGAAAGCAACAAGTTAGCATTTCTTTCCCACATTTAAAGAAAATTTGATTGGTGTTAGATTGTGAGCAATTTTAAAGTAGAATTGATACTCTCAGTTTTCAGGGTCCTGATAAAATTGTGACTCTCTCCACATTGAGCAGTTAACATGTGAACAAGCACTGAGAAAAATAACACACACACAATTTACAAAGAAAATTCAAAATGGATACATTTGTTTGTGTTAATGTATGTATATCGGCAAAGAAAAAAAAAATCAACAAGGAGCCAACCCTCATATCTGCTGTTTACATTACATATACCTTCTCCCAAATAGAAAGTAGAATTTTTGGAATGATGTTCATCTAATATATCACGTAATAAAGACAAAAGCGTACCAGGTAACCCTAATAAAGTGTAAAATGTTTTTCTAAATGTTTTACATATGTATCTCACTGTGCTCTTACTGAAGTTCCATTAACTCTTTTGAACTGTTGGGAAAACTAACACAGTAATTTCATTCTGGTCACATATGGCTTATAAGAGCTGCACCCAGTGAATCTGTATTTAATAAAACACGTTCCTTTGTCACTCACCAATCATATGTGTTGGTTAAGGGCGAGCTGGGTTTTTTAAATATATGGCGAGCTGGGTTTTTTAAATATATAATTCAGTCCTAATCTGACCTATAATTTACTTTGTAACAAGTGTATGAAAAACAAGGCTCTAGGTATTTATTCTTATGTCAGAACTGAAAGTTATGGTTGCTTATTGTTTGTTATGACAGAAGCACTACCCTGTAAAACAGTAATGAGTGAATGAAAGCAATCGGAAGTAATCGCTAGAGTTGCTCTTAAATTCAGGTACTGTAAGTAATTAAAATTGAGGACTTCCACACAAACTCTTCTAAAATAATCCATGATTGTTCCAATATAGATTTTCAAAAATTATAATGGGTATTTATAAAACATAACACAAGCTTTATTTTCAACCTTTCTTCACTGACAAAAGTGTAGGAAGAAAATGACAAAAATGAAGGAAAAAACTAAAACAAAATGTGTTACTCCCCAGAACTGCTCTAACTGTAGGGAGATAATATTTATAGGGAAAAAAAAACCCTTTGTCCTTCCATTATTTTCACTGTATCAAATTGATTCTACATTTATATATAAAATATATGAGTTCCTACTTGTACAAATTACAGCACCATTGTTTTAATCAAGAAGACAGTAAGTAAACCATATATATATATATATACATACATATATATACATACATACATACATACATATATATATATATATATATATATATATATAAATCTCTAAATTGAGGTTCCAGAGCTATTTCTAGGGCCACATTTCTTACCCTGCAAGCTTTGCTTACAACCTCAGCCCCAGAAACATAACCTCTGCCACCACCTGTGCCAGTAACAGACCCTATAGCTGCCCATGCCATCTGTGTGTTTCATCTTCTGGATCCCTGCAGAATCTTCCAAGGCCAGTGGCTCTGGTTGACTGAGTAAGTCACATGTCTGCCACCTAGTGGTAGGCATGCCTGAGAGCTATTTCTGAATCTTACATTGTGAAGATGGCATTCAGAATATGGGAAGGTATTAAAACACAAAGGTATATTCAAAAGATTTGGGGCAGGGCCCTCTCTGGTGGCACAGTGGTTAAAGTACAGCACTAAGAAGCTAAAGCCACTTCAGAGTGAGTTTGATCCCCGCCCCAGAGGAGATCCACATGGCACGGCAGACCTCTCCTGACCCTCAACCAGTGAGAAAAAAGAAAACTTTTCTGTTGTTTTGTGCTGGTATATTTTTATTCCATCTTGCAAATATTTATTCTAATTAGTATTCAGTAGTCAATAGATTATAGAATACAAATTCCAGTATTAAACCTTGATTCCTGGATCTAATATTGTGTATGATAGCATGACTGCGAGCAAATATCTGGTAAAATGGTGTTGCTGGTAGAAGCACAGTCATTAATGAAATGCAAATACATAGCTGGAAAAGGTTTCTAATACAGTGCAAAAAGGTAGCTTCCCCTCCTTAATGGCAGGAATTTGACGTAATCTGGTTGTTTAAAAGTGGAGGGTGGACTTCAGGTTATACATTCAGTGTGGATGACTATGGCTAGAACTTGACTGTGAACCTGTGTGATAACTGTTCACCTTAATGATGAGAAGCCCATATCAGGTCAATGATAA